GCTGCGCCGGGCCACGTCGGAGGGCGAGAGTCTGCGGCGCCTGGGCCTCCCGCACAATCAGCTGGCCGCCCAGACCGGTGCCACCACGCCTTCCGCCGAGTCTCTGGGCTCCGAGGCCAGTGCCACATCTGGCTCATCTGGTGAGGAGGGATAGGGGCAGGAGCAGAGGCAAGGGGTGCATGGAGAGAGGTTCTGGAAGAAGAGCACTGGGGCACCCTGCAGGAAGGCTGAAGAGGTGCTGGAGCCGAGTGAGAGGCAGTGTTGGAAGGGAGTCTGGCTGAGAGAAAGAGACTGGAATGAGAGCAGGGCGGGCTGGGGCTGCTAGATGCTCTTTCCCCCTTCTCTGGACTGAGGATGGCAGGGTGTTGGGAGCTTCTGGCCTGGCTAGGCAGGCGCTCATGGCCTGAGTCTTTGCAGCTCCTGGGGAAAGCCGAAGCCGACTGCGGTGGGGCTTCTCACGGCTGCGAAAGGACAAGGGGTTGTCACAGCCAAACCTCTCCGGCAGCATCCAGGAGGACTTGGGCCACCAGTACGTGCCCAGCGAGTCAGGTAATAAAAGCCTCCTGGGTGAGTACCTGCCCCTCTGGAGCAGCCATCCTGGGAAGTAGATGGGCCACCTTGAGGATCCTGGGCTGCGGGAGGGGCCTAGAGTGAGCAAAACAATTACAATGACAGAACAGCTGCCATTAATTAGCAAAGACAAGCATCTACAAGCGCTGCCTCATTCAGTCCTGCAACCTTGTTTAGGAACAATTATTATCATCACTGGCTGTTTTACAGGTGAGGAGACAGGCTTAGTGGTGCTAAGTAAGTAGTTTGTCCAAGTCCGCAGAGCTGGTAAGTGGAGCACCAGGTCCCAAACATGGTTGTGGGGTAACAGACTTATGGTGGGTGCTTTCCTTCATTTGTTTACTTTTAAATGATTGTTTTATTATGTTTTAATTTGACCAGAGAGAGACAGAAAGAAAGAGAGAGAGCAAGCTGCCAAGTCTGGGACTCAAACTACAGTTGGCCATGTGGGAGCCTAGTACCTTAATCGCCACGCCGCCTGCCAGCCCCTGTTTGTTTTTTGCTACAGGGCACATGTGCTCACTAGAGAGAGCATGAGAGAGAAAGGGGGCATGGTCACTCCACAGTCCTTTCTCCTCTAGTTTCCTCTCAGGATTTGGGGTACACATGCATATGTACCAGTGTGTTTTTCAAGCTGCTGGGTCTGGGACTTGAGTTGCCCCGACCACCACACCACTGGCTGGCCTTCTTCCTTGTGGGAGACGCTAGATTACTGTAACGGGGTGTAGTTTTTGTTAAGTTTACTTTTGTTTCTTCATGAAAGACAGAGAGACAGCACCCTTACAGAGTCTTTACACCTTGATCCACACCCAGCTTCAGCCAGCCCTGAATCATGGGCACACGTGTTCCTGTGTACTCAGGGAGGGCTCCTGATGTGATCTAGAACCTTCCCATGTGAGCCAGCCTCTCAGAAAGCTGCACTTCACTGCTGTGCCACCAACTCGCCCCTGGGGTTAGTTTTTTGTTTTTTTGGTTTTTTTTTTTTTTTTGAGAGATTTTCACTGTAGGGCGCGTGCGCTCGCCAGACAGACAGAGAGAGACATAGAGACAGAAAGCGAGAAATCACCCCCCAGGGGGGATGGTCACGCCGCAATCCCTTCTCCTCCATTCTCCTCTCGGGATCTTGGGCACGCACGCACACGCGCCCGGCGTGAGTTTTAAGCCACCGGGTCCGGGACACGAACCACGGTCGACTACGTGGGAGTCCAGCGACATAGCCATTACGCTAACTGCTGGTTCCCGCCCCTGGGGTTAGTTTTGAAGGAGCTTGCGATAGGGAGCCCCTGCCTCCACCCCTTTCAGGTGTGTGCTTGAGTGTGTAGCCAGAGATGTCCACTGCCCTCCAGCCTAGAAGACCACAGTCTGGGCTGGGCCTCCAGATCTCCATCTGCCCTCTGTATGTCGCCCTCGGTGTCCCCTCTTTCCTCACAGAAGGCTCTTCTGCGTGGAAAAGCAGCCTTTTGGGTCCTTTGCTGGGGGGAGGGAGATATGGGGCATTCCCTCATCTGTTTCCTGGGCAGTGTCCAGGGCCTGTAGGGAGGGAGGCGCTCTCCCCCTGGGTTCATCAGGTCCCTCACCTGGAAAGGGTGGGACCTCAGGCACAGCCTTCAGGAGGCCAGCTTTTCCAGACTGCCCAGGCAGGCTGTGCTGGAGTTCTCACAACCATCAGTTCTGTCCTTCCATTTCCTGCTAAACTCAGTGCTTCCAGTCTTGCCTCGGCTGGGCTTGGGGCTGGGCTTGGGGGCATGGTGTCCAGCCTTGGTCAGGGCAGTGGAGCTGAGTGAGCTAAGTGGAGGGAGTGAAGGCCAGCTGGGGGTGGGGGAGGAGGAGAAGGAGGGGACAGGGAGAGAGCAGCCAGCACAGGCCAGGACAGCTGATCCCTTCCCGCCTGGGGCCTCCCTCCCAGCTCAGTTTTGCTTGTGCGGCTGATTTCCTGCCGAGGCAGTGTCCCCTTACCTCTGCTATTAGGGCTGGCCCTGAGGGACTGGGGCTGGCAGGACTGGACCCAGGTCACTTTCACCTCTGCTTCTGGCCTCCCTCTCTCTCCCTCTCCCCAGCACCTCTCTTGGTCTGACACAACCATTGATGAAACTGTGTCCACTTTACGGTATTGGAGCCTTGCTGTGGGACCTCTCCTTGGCAACAGTGGGGTAGAACAGGAAGGGCAGACACCCTGCTGTCCCGATCACCCACTGCTACTGAGTAGCCCTCTCCTGCCCAGCTCACTCCCACCACCATTCCCCCTAGATCTTCAGACAGGCAAGAGCTGGGGCTCCCAGGGGTCGTGGAGCCTCCTGCCCCTACCTGATGGCCAGGACTAGATGAGGATTCTTCTGAGAGGACACTTCCAGGGATCCTAAACTCAAGTCCTCATGGCGCTAAGGAGCCACAGTCTGAAGGGCTCTTAGCAGGGAGCAAAGACCCTGGCCCCATCCCCAGCCCTGCCATGGCAGTTCCAAGGCAGCGTGAAGGCAGCCTCTCTGCTCTGCGTGGTGGCCACTTTCTCAGGTGTCCGCCCCTGGCTTCTCTGCTGGGCACATTAATGAGATAATAATAACAATAGATGCTACTATTTCTTTTTTTTTTTTTTTTTTGAGAGGTTTTTTCCCTATAGGGTACGTGCGCTCGCCAGACAGACAGAGAAGAGAGAGACAGAAAGTGAGAAATCACCCCCCAGGGGGGATGGCCACACCACAATCCCTTCTCCTCCATTCTCCTCTCGGGATCTTGGACACACACGCACATGCGCCCAGTGTGAGTTTTAAGCCACCGGGTCCGGGATGCGAACCATGGTCGACTACGTGGGAGTCCAGTGACATAGCCATTATGCTAACTGCTGGTTCCCTAGAAGCTACTATTTCTGAGCACTTCCATGCCAGGCACATGCTAAGCACTTTACCTACCTCTTTTAATTGTCACAGCAACCCTTAGAGCTTGGTATGATTATTTTCTTCAATTGACAGACATAACATGGAGCTTCTGGGAAAGTAAAAGACTTGGCCATGGTCATGCAGACATTGACTCTCAGCCCTTCACGAACTCCCACCATGGAGTTGACCTGAAGGAGTATGTAGAGGTTTGGGACCCATGCCCAGGCCCCACGTGGAAAGAGGAGCAGAGAGGCTAGCACACCTCGAGGTCTGCCCACGGTCTGCCTAGACTTTGGGTGTCTTGAGACTGCACGTGGTGCCCAGACATTCTGTGCTCAGTGCCATCTCAGCTCAGGTCACTGGCATCGGCCTCTTCCTCCCTCACTTGCCCGATGGTACCCAGAGGGAGTGACTCTTGCAGGATCTGAACCATGGTGTTTTTCCTTTTTTTTTTTTTTGAGAGAGGTTTTTGCTATAGAGCACATGAACTCTCCAAAAAGACAGAGAAGAGAGAGACAGAAAGTGAGAAATCACCCCCCAGGGGGGATGGCCATGCTGCAATCTCTTCTCTATTCCCCTCTTGGGCACGCATGCACATGTGCTCGGTATGAGTTTAAGCCACCGGGTCTGGGACTCAAACGGCGGTCGACTACATGGGAATCCAGCAACGTAGCCATTACACCATCTGTTGGTCCCACCATGGTTTTTCAATATTTGTTTGTTATTACTTTATTTGACACGTGCTTAGAGAGCACTTCCTTGGTGCCAGGCCCTGCTGTAAGGGACTTACACGTCAGGCAGGTGCCAAGCATCCGTAATAGTGCAAGGACAGGACAGCTGTACACACAGCGAGGGCCTGGGAAAAGCCATGTTTGCCCCAAAGAAAACTCTCAAAGACATGGCATGGGGTCCCACTTCTTCACCTGGCTGGGAAGAGACAACCTTTTGCTCCACTCCCCGCAGGCAGCACCAGCACTCGTGCGCATCCTTCCCTCCTTCAGTGGTAAGTGGGGCGGTCCCCACAGACAGCACCAGGGTCCCCACACACAGGTGGATGTCTTTGCTCTCCTCCCAGACTTCCCCCCAGTCTTCCACATCAAACTCAAGGACCAGGTGCTGCTGGAGGGGGAGGCAGCCACCCTGCTTTGTCTGCCAGCGGCCTGCCCTGCACCCCGCATCTCCTGGATGAAAGGTGAGGTTACATCTCAGAGGGGTTGGAGGAGGCTAGGCCTGAAGGTGAGCACGGTTCAGGAGGTACCAGGGCGGGGGCAGGGGAGGGGGACCACTCAGCAGCTGCTCCTGCTCCTCCCCACTCAGACAAGCAGTCCCTGCGGTCAGAGCCCTCCGTGATCATCGTGTCCTGCAAGGATGGACGGCAGCTGCTCAGCATCCCCCGGGCGGGCAAACGGCATGCTGGGCTCTACGAGTGCTCGGCCACCAACGTCCTAGGCAGCATCACCAGCTCCTGCACTGTGGCCGTGGCCCGTGAGTCTGGGCAGGACCTGAGGGGGGTAGTGAGGGAGGGATGGGGGAGCAGGGCAGTGGGGCCCGTCGCAGGGCACAGGGCTCACTGGGACTCCCCTCTTGCCAGGTGTCCCAGGAAAGTTAGCTCCTCCCGAGGTCCCCCAGACCTACCAGGACACAGCGCTGGTGCTGTGGAAGCCAGGAGACAGCCGGGCACCTTGTACCTACACACTGGAGCGGCGGGTGGACGGTGAGCAACAAGGCAGGACCGCAGGGAAGCGGGTAGCAGGTGGAAGGCAGAGGAGTCTGGGAAGGCAACCAGCCTCCATGGGCAGAGGCCCCTGCCAGGGTTCTTCACAGATGACACTGGGAGCTTGGGCCACACCTTCTGTGGCCTCAGCCCCTGCCCCGCTCCTCCCACTGTCTGCAGGGGAGTCTGTCTGGCACCCAGTGAGCTCAGGCATCCCCGACTGTTACTACAATGTGACCCACCTGCCAGTCGGCATGACCGTGAGGTTCCGTGTGGCCTGTGCCAATCGGGCCGGGCAGGGGCCCTTCAGCAATCCTTCTGAGAAGGTCTTCGTCAGAAGCACGCAAGGTTGGTGGGGCTGGGAGAAGGGAGAAGACCCTAAGCCCAGGGTCGGCCCCTGCCTGTGAGTACCCTGGCTTTGCCCCCAGAGCACCACGGTGATGATTTTCTTTGTGTTCTCTTAGATTCTTCAGTTTCGCCACCCGCTGCTCACCAAGCCTCCCCTATTACCTCAGGCCCAATCAGGGCCCCGCCCCCTGACTCTCCTACCTCACAGGCCCTGCCCCCAGCTCCTGCCCCATCGGCCCCCCAGTCAGCTGCTCTTAGCCCCTCATCTTCCTCCATGCCCCCCAGCCAGGCCTTGTCCTCACTCAAGGCTGTGGGTCCACCACCCCAAACCCCTCCACGAAAGCACAGGGCTCTGCAGGCCACCCGGCCAGCTGAGCCCACCCCAGCCAGTGCACAGATCACTCCAAGTGAACCCACATCTTTCTTCCCCGACACGGAGACCCCAGCCCCAGCCTCTACCCCTCAAGGGGCTAAACCAGTGTCTTCCTCTACTCCCCTGTATATGGTGACTTCCTTTGTGTCCCCACCACCAGCCCCTGAGCCCCCAGCCCCTGAGCCCCCTCCCGAGCCCACCAAGGTGACTGTGCGGAGCCTCAGCCCAGAAGTGGTCAGCTCCCCTGGGGGTGGCCGCCCCACCTCTCCGAAGCCAGAGGGCACCAGTCTTCGACAGGGCCCCCCTCAGAAACCCTACACCTTCCTGGAGGAGAAGGCGAGGCAAGCAGGCCGGGGAAGGGAAGGAGGACAAACAGGGAGTGGGTTGGATGTAGGGAACACAGGGGTGTGGAGAGAAGGGCAGATGGCTGGTTGCGGGGCAGGTGTTGAGATGTGGATCCTTAAAATGATTGAGTTCAAGAGTACCAGGCACTCTGCTAAAGAACTAAAACCAGCCCAAATAGTTTAACAGCCTTATGATCTTATTTAAGCTTTCTGAGAAGGGGACACTGCATTATCATCATCCATTTCTCAGTGGGGAAACTGAGGTTAGAGAAGTTCTGGAATTCGCCTAAGGTGGAGATCCAGCGAGTGGCAGAGCTGGGGTTTGCACCCACATTCCTAGGATTAAATGCAGGAGCTCACCCTGGAACCACTGCATTTATTTTTGAGAGATTTTTCTGTAGTGTATGTGAGCTAGCCAGAGAGACAGAGAGGGACACAGAGACAGAAAGCAATACATCACCCCCCCCCCCGGGGCTGGGGGGATGGCCATGCTTCAATTCCTCCTCCTCCATTCTCCTTTCGGGATTTTGGGTACGTGTGCACACCTACCTGGCATGAGTTTCAAACCATCAGGTCCAGGAATCAAACCGTGGTTGGCCATGTGGGAGTCCAGTGATATAACCAGTACGCCATCTGTAGGTCCCGAATCCCTGCATTCTTGCCCCCGTGGTTTCTGCTTCCTCCTTTAGCTCTCACCACAAAAGTGTCTCCTCATCTCTGAGCCTGTGGTGTCCCCCCCCACACACACAGGGGCCGATTTGGTGTCGTACGAGCATGTCGGGAGAATGCCACGGGGCGAACGTTCGTGGCCAAGATTGTGCCCTATGCGGCTGAGGGCAAGCGGCGCGTCCTCCAGGAATACGAAGTGCTGCGGACGCTGCACCACGAACGGCTCATGTGCCTGCACGAGGCCTATATCACCCCTCGGTACCTCGTGCTCATTGCCGAGAGCTGTGGCAACCGGGAACTCCTCTGTGGGCTCAGCGACAGGTAGTGGGGCACCCCGGGGAGCTGGAGGGGGATGGGGCTGGACTGGGACATCAGCTGCCCTGCCCCCACCTCCTGCACCCAGGTTCCGGTATTCCGAAGATGACGTGGCCACCTACGTGGTGCAGCTGCTACAGGGCCTGGACTACCTCCATGGCCGCCACGTGTTACACCTGGACATCAAGCCGGACAACCTACTGCTAGCACCCGACAACGCCCTCAAGATTGTGGACTTCGGCAGTGCCCAGCCCTACAACCCCCAGGCACTGCGGCCCCTTGGCCACCGCACGGGCACACTGGAGTTCATGGGTGAGGGGACCGGCTGCCAGCCAGAGGGGGCAGTTGGGTAACCCCTAGGCAGGCACAGCCAGGCCTCACTCCACTTTCCCCACATATGTGCCGGTTATTGTCCTTACTGTGTGCAAGTAACCACCGAGTCCTTAGATTTGTCACTCGGTTGATCTTTACAATAGCCCTGGGATTTGGCCTATTAGCCCCTTTTACAGATGAGGAAACGCCGAGGTTAAACCATTGTCCAGTCACACTGTTATAAATGGTCCAGGCAGGGTTTGCCAGAGATAAAAACAAACAGGGACCAGCAGTTGGCTTTGTCGCTGGACTCCCATGTAGTCAGCCGCAGTTCGAGTCCTGGATCCAGTGGCTTTTACTCCTGCTGAGCGCACGTGCTTGCGTGGGCCACGAGCGCATGTGCTTGCGTGCCCAAGATCCCAAGAGGAGAATGGAGAAGGGATTGTGGTATGGCCATCCCCCTGGAGTGATTTCTTGCTTTACTGCCCTATAGCAAAAACCTCTCAAAAACCAACCAACCAACCCCAGGAAAATCAATGACAGCTTTATATGAATACAGGAACCCAGCTACCACTTACCTGTTAATGCCTGATGTTTGTCATCTCTGTTCCTTAAAGTTACCCGTAAGCAGCGCTCTGCAGGAGGCAGTGGAGAGTCAGGCAGGCTGGTCAATCGCCCAGGGTCCACTAACTAGAAGGGGCAGGCCTGCGGTTACACCAGTTAGGCAGACTTCATGCTCTTAGTCCTGACGTCCGCCATGCTGTCTGAATGGGAGCCCTACCTCAGCGTTGATCCATGGGAGCTAGTGACCCTGGTTCTGAGCTCCTCTGGATTCTGGGGACCCCCACCGCTCAGTGCCTAGGTTCATTCCCCTCTTCAGGGGGTCTACCACCCCACGTCTGTCTTGCCCGCTGGCTTCCAGGGCCAGCTGCTCTGGCCCTACTCATGGTCTAGTGACCTGGACATTGTCCTGCTCCTCACCCCTCTGAGGTCCCGTGTTCTTCTGCTCCCCTGCCACCAGGAAGTGGGGTGGGTCAGCTTGGTGTTTGTTTCCTGTCAGCTCCTGAGATGGTGAAGGGAGAACCCATTGGCTCTGCCACGGACATCTGGGGAGCCGGTGTGCTCACCTACATCATGTGAGTACCTTGGCCCCACCCCAGTGCCATCTGCCCACACTCTCCCACCCCCACACCGGGGGCAGGATAGCACTGCGCTCCTCAGAACCTTCTACACTAATGTCCTCCAGGCCTGGGAGTGGGCCCTCAGTCTTCAGGTGTCAACTGACCTGTCCTCCACAACAGGCTCAGTGGACGCTCCCCGTTCTATGAGCCAGACCCCCAGGAAACAGAGGCTCGGATTGTGGGGGGCCGCTTTGATGCCTTCCAGCTGTACCCCAACACATCCCAGAGTGCCACCCTCTTCTTGCGAAAGGTCCTCTCAGTACATCCCTGGTGAGTGGGCCCCATACCTGCACACCCCTCTCCTATAATGCCTGCTCCAGGCCTAAGACTGCCCTGACCCAGCCTGTGCCAGGGATCCCCCAACTTTCCCTTGCCCCTAATAATCTATAGTTGCTGCTACTTCTGCTAAGCAGTCATACTGCCTACCATTAAAAGCATATAGCCCAGGGCCAGCAGGTGGTGTGGCGGTTAAGGTACTGGACTCCCACATGGTTGACTGCAGTTCGAGTCTTGCACCTGGCAGCTTGCTTTCTCACTTTTTCTCACTCTCTCCTGTCACTCTCTGGTGAGTGTACATACCCTATAGCAAACAAAATAATAATAAATAAAAGTATACATAATATATATTTCTATATAATACATAAATGTGTAATTTTTATGTATTATATATTAAAATAATATATAATATATAAATGTGTGTGTGTATAATACACACACACACACCTTTTAAAAGCACATCACCCTATGAGAGGCAGAATCACCATCCCCATTCTAGAGATTAGGAAACTGAGCCTGGGAGTTGCCCAAAATCGTAGGTGTAGCGGTAGATCCAGGCCAGGGGTGGGGTCTGTGGGAGGACCGGGAGTCCTTCCTTTAGGTTTACGGTCCCTGCTCGGCCTGGCAGGAGCCGGCCCTCCCTGCAGGACTGCCTGGCCCACCCATGGCTGCAGGACCGCTACCTGATGAAAGACACTCACCTTTACCACCAACCGGCTCAAGGAGTTCCTGGGTGAGCAGAGGCGCCGCAGGGCCGAGGCCGCCACCCGCCACAAGGTGCTGCTCCGCTCCTACCCTGGCAGCCCCTAGCAGCATGGACCACAGCCTGGCCTTGGGCTTCCACTCGGGGTCCCCACGGATGCGGGGGACATTCCAGGGCCCACACTGAGCTGAGCGGGCCTGGGGCTTTGGATACCACCAGCAGCAACACCTGGCCGGGCTATTACCTCATGGACCTGCTGGCACAGAGGCCCAGAACCCCAGCCTGATGCCACCCCGGCCAGATCCAGAGCAGGACACCTGTGGCCAGGCTGGGCAGGGGTGGGAACAGGAAGATGGGCAAGAAGGGAATGGGGAAGTGAAGAGGAAAAGAAGCCGAGGGTTGGGGGGAGACGCTAGGAAGGTTCTGGGCGTGGAGGGGACAGTGCATCTCAGGGAGAACCAGGAGGGAGCGTGCGAATGTCTAGAGAAGACGTAGAAGGAGCCCAGGGCATTGAGGCAGCGGGCTGGGAGTGAGTGTCGGCGAAGCAGGGACAGGATACCAGGCAGTGCCAGGGCACCACAGGGACCTGGACCTTGGATGTGAGAAGAGGCAGTGAGGGGGGAAGGAGAGAAAAGAGGACATGGGCGGGGGTGAGAGGGCGAGGGGAGGGGCCAGCTGCCGGCATCCCCAGAGAATGGGGAGAATGCTGTCACTCAAGCTGGTTCTCTCCTTCGGTCCTAGTGGATGCAGCTCTGGGCACGCTATGCTGGCCCAAGGGTGTCCCCACCGCCCCTTCATTGCCTTCACCCTTGTTCCCGTTCATATTTATTTATTTATTGACTTTTATGACGTTTTTCCTTCCATCCAGTCCTTACTGCCTGTGTTGTCCTGACCCTCTCCCCCACCCCGGCCATCCAGCTGTCTGTGCAGCTGTCTGTCTGTCTGTCACAAGGAAAATAAAAACAGCAAGCAGCAGGGACTATGTGTGGTCTATGGGGGGCGGGGGGGCATGAGGCCAGAGCCATGAGATAGAGGATTCAGCCTTTTCTGCACATTCAGAGGTATACCAGCCAGCACCATGGGGCCTTCCACCTCCTCCAGCACTCTAGACCCTCACCTTTCCTGATTCCTGTGTGTGTGTGTGGGGGGGGGGCGCTGCCACCCGCCCTCCCATAGGTTCAGGAGTGCTGGCAGGCCCTCTGAGTCCCCACCACCGCCTCACCAGACTGGTAGCCCTTACAACTTGTTGCATGTTCCCTCATCTCGACCTGGGGGATGCTGGGCTCTAGAATGGGACAGTGCACACCCCATCCCATCGCAGCCTTCTCAGTCCAGAAGACGTCCCAGCTCTGGACCTGACCCCTGAGGCAGAGCAGGTGCCACCCTGATGGTGGGTGAGCAGGAGCAGGTGGATGAAGAGCTGCTGCAGGGGCCAGGAGAGGCTGGGGCCAGCAGGTGGCATGGAGGTCAGCGTGGCCGATGGGATGGTTTGAGTCCTGGACCCAGAGAGTTAAAACACACAGCAAGCACGTGTGTGTGCATGCCCAAAATCCTGAGGAGAATGGAACACAAGGGATTGCGGCATGGCCATCCCCCATGGGCTGTGATTTCTCATTTTCTTTGTCTCTCTCTAAAAAACGTAGGAACCCTATAACAAACTTTAAAGAGAGAGAGAGAGAGATAGAGCCTTTTGGCTGGAACTGCCAGCTTCCAGTAATTCACCAAAATGACAAACACAAAGGGGAAGAGGGGAGACACCAATATATGTTCCCTAGGCCTTTTGGAAAACATGGAGTGGTTCCTTTGGCAACATACATGAGAATCTACAAGAAGAGTGTTATTGTAGACATCAAGAGAATGGGTAACATTAAAAAAGGAATACCCCACAAATGTTACCAGGGCAAAACTGGAAGAGTCTACAATGTTACCCAGCATGCTGTTGGCATTGTTGTGAACAAACAAGTTAAGGGCAAGATTCTTGCCAAGAGAATTAATGTGCGTATTGAGCATAGTAAGCATTCTAAGAGCAGAGATAGCTTCCTAGAACGTGTGAAGGAAAATGACCAGAAAAAGAAGGAAGCCAAACAGAAAGGTACCTGGGTTCAAATGAAGCGCCAGCCTGCTCCACCCAGAGAAGAACACTTTGTGAGAACCAATGGAAAGGGGCCTGAGCTTCTGGAAACTATTCCCTATGAATTCATGGCATGATGGGTGTTAAAATAAACTGGGCCCAGCAAGTGGCGTAGTGGTTACGTCGCTTGAGTTCCGCAAAGCCAACCACAGTTCGAATCCTGAACCTGGTGATGAGAATCACGCTGCGTGTGTGTGTGAGTGCGTGCTCAAGATCCTGGGAGGAGAATGGAGGAGAAGGGATGGTGGCATGGCCAATCCCCCTGGAGGGTGATTTCTCACTTTCCCTCTCACTGTGTCTGTCTGTCTGTCTCTCTCTGGCAAGTACATATGCCCTAAGGCAAAAACCTCTAAAAATAAATTAAAAATAAAATAAACTATGATCTATAAAATAGAGAAAAGAAAACGGGCCAAAAAATCCCAGGAGAGGCCTGAGCACCTCGCCATCAGTGGGGAAGGGCAGATCTGAGCACAAGGAGGACAGACTGCGAGTCCTCTAGTCAGTGTGTCCAGTATTTTCTTAGGGCCGAGGGACACCTCTGTCCCCATGGCAAGGAAGGGAGGTCTGAGTTGTAAGGCACCTGACTAGCCACTGCCCTGCAACACCACAGGATAGTAACTGGGTCCTAGAACTAAGCTGCCCTGCCCGGAGATGGCAGGGGTGAGGGGCACTTGGCCTCCTTGTACCAGGGTGGCTGTTTGCCTTCCACCTTGAAAACTGTCCTTGGCAGAGTGAGAGGAACAAGGCCTCTGACCATGAACAGAGCTGGCACCGGCGCTGCTGACTGAGGTTAGGGCCCCTGGGCTCCAGCTCAAACAGCTCCATCCTGGACAAGCCTCTCCCACTCCTCAGTACCCCAGGGAAGAGGCAAGCCCCATCAGCATAAAATAGCAGGGTGTTAAAGCCAGCTGGAAGGGACCAGAAAGATGCCTTGCCCACCTGTCATTTCAGCGATGAAGATATACAGTTTGTCTGCGAGACTCTCCAATCCCTACATACGACAAGTATCTACTTATAAAAATCAGGTGCCTGAACTCATATCTTGATAAATGGTAAAATTCCTCTCCCGTCCCCCCTCTGATCTCGAGCTCCCTTCCCATCTCCATTGGAAATGGCATGTGAACTGCTTGTTCCAAACCTGGAGGAGCCGAGGTAATTTATGTCAGCAGAGCTGTGTCAAAACTGCTCTGATCAAAAGGTGACAGGGCTCCACACCTCAGTGGGGAGTTGCCAAGAATGGAAGTGATGATTTTAGCTGGTTGCCTGGCCCAGGCAGTGTGGACCCCAGGCAAATGCCAGAGGAGTGAGCTGGGCCCCTTCACCCCAGATGGTCTGATGCTCTTCGTGCCAGTGTATGCCCCTGAAAGGGGCGGGCAGACTTAGGGGTGGGCAATCAGCATCCAGGGACAGTGCAGTCGAGCCAGACGCTACCACATCACATCAAGGGGAGTAAAGTGTGGGGGCGGCATGGTGCGGACCGTCTTCTCAAAAAACTTTCTCAATTTATCTCAGTTTACCACCAGGGGGCACAGTGAGGAAATGACAACCCTAGACTCCTAGGGTGGGTGTGGGAGTGGAGGGAAAAAGTCAAATGCTTCCAGATTGGTTCTGACGCCCACGTGGCCCTGCCCTGATTGGCTGTATGCGCCATGAAGCCTGAGGCTACTCTGGCTTCATCCAGGGTCACCCCCCCACCCAGCAAACTTGCACCCCCTTAGCTGGAAATGTCAGAGACCAACTTAAATGTAAAGCTGCCCCAGCAGTGAGCTGATTCTTGTCAGCTAGGGGCCGTGGCTGGTCCTCCCAGGAGTGGGATGGATACCCCCTGCCCTGGCAGGGGACAGAGCTGTGTCCAGTTGCCCAGCTGTCCAGGCGCTGACATGCAGTGCACCCCAGAGCCACTCAGATTTCCCCCCTTGGGCCTGCCCCGTGGCTGAGCTAGCATCCCAGGCATCCTGAGGCTAAATAAGGAGTCCTCTTGGGTCAGAGAGTGGGGGCTGGGGCCCCGGGGGGGCCATGCCAAACAAGGCAAGGAGGGCAGTGATGTATAAAACGGGGGCCGGGGCTGAGCACCTGCCCGCACCCCTCTCCTCCCATCTAGACGGCTCTGTGCCGCCTGCAACCCAGCCAAGTCTGAAGTCAACCCCTTCGAGGTGAGTCTGATGCCCAGAGAAGCCCCAGACCCTCCCATGGCCTGGGATGTTCTGATCAGGTCGGTAAGCGCAGCAGGTCTGGTCTTCCGTCTCAACCGGGAACCCCCTTTTATGTTGTCCGCTCCCCAGATGTCCAAAGCAGCTCCTGCCAAAAAACCAGCCGCCCCGCCTCCGGGATGTACTCTGGATATCAACGACCCCCAGGTCCAGAGCGCCGCCATTCGCATCCAGGCCTCTTACAGGGGCCACAGGTGAGCGGAGCCCTAGAACCCTCGCGAGGGAGAGGGAGCTGCAGAAGCCATTCTCGG